AGAGGAAGCCTTTTGGGCTGGAAGTTGACATGTCATTCTGTATCCCGTAGCATGACCTTCTCCAAACATCAGCTCACACACAAAAGACACTGTGCTCCAAATGACTATTTTACCTCCAGGCAGTAACCGTATCACCCTGAGTGACAGCTCCGCCATAGCCACTCTAGCCAGGAAGAAAGCCTTTCTAATTCTTTGAAGCTCAAAGTCCACAATATTCTTTGCAGTGACATGGAGGCACTAATGATCCCTTGATATTTGCCAACTACAGATTAATTTCTATTGTTTAACCCAGAGGAGACTGTCAAGAAACTCTGCATTCATCTAAGTCTCCCCAGTGAACTAAGTCAGTTTAAATTGATTCGCAGATGGACGTGTTTGTGATTAATATTCTGATGGAAATTACAGGACACACACGGCTAGTCAAATCTCTGTTTGAAAAATAGTACAAAGCATCTGTGGAAATGAATATATGTGTCTCCATGTAATGACTACAAAATTGTTAAAAGTAAAAATAGAGGTTAAACGGTTCTATTTTGTTAAGTAAACCAGGAGCGGCAGGGCCAAAGACTGGATTTGAAGATTGGCCTTGAGTAGTTTCCCGTAATGAAAATTGGGATGCGAGAAACAATCCAAATGCAATGAGAACCAACTTTGATTTAAATAAGGTTGTTGGAAGCTCCGAAAGAGTACTTTTCCTTACCTTGTTTTCCATTTTAAAAAATCCTTTTTCTCACTTAAGTTGCATGAGAAATTGCCCAGAGATTATTGAAAAAACTTGTTGTATGGGCTGTTGAAGACATTTTCCTTCTGAGTAACAAAAGAACGAACCCTGGGATCTATCAAAGATATTCAAAAGCAGAGCTGCTGGGAGATGAGATGATAGATCCTTTTTCCTTGGCCTTGAATTGAAATAGACGAGGTCTTGGGGGATTGCTGCAGTAGCATCACGCACTTACGCTTGTACTCCAGGCTGTAGAGCCTTTGAGACCCTTAGGTGTTTAGGGATGCATGTGTGTGTTTTAATTCAGATGACATTCACATAACATAAAGTTAGCCACTTAGAAAGTGCTCACGTCTATTTATTTTTAGCACAGTCAGGATGGGTGCAGCCATCAGCTCTATCTGTTGTGGTTTAGAAGCATTGTCGCCTGCGAAGGAAACGTTTTTGTCTAGCACCAGTCACTGCCCATTGCCTTGCCCTAGTTCTTGTCAACACTGACTCCATTTATGGTCTCTATAAATTTGCATATTCTAGATATTTTAACTAAATGGAATTCATGTAATATGTAATCTCCTTTCTTTCTTTCTTTTTTTTTTTTTTTAGACAGATTTTTGCTATAGGGCAAGTCCACTTGCTAGAGAGACAAAAAAAATGAGAAATCACCCCCAGGGGGGATGGCCACAACTGCAATCTTTTCTCCTCCATTCTCCTCTCAGGATCTTGGGCACACATGCTCACATGCCTGGCAGGAGTTTTAAACTACTGTGTCCAGGACTTGAACTGAGGTCAACCACATGGGAGTTCAAGGATGTAACCATTATGGCATCTGCTGGACTCCATGACAGCTTCTTTCAACAGTATGTTTCCAAGGTCCATCCATGCTACAGCCTGTATCCGTACTTTTCAAACAGGGTTCAAACAAAATGGCCTACTCTAGATAAACCTTTCGGTGACCTAGTCTTAAGGCTGTTCAGACTACAGTGGAAGCTGTAGCAACTACTTGCTGCATTTGGAAAACCTTTCTGGGGGCCTGAGAACATGGAAATTTGTTCAGTCTGCTTTGTGAACCAACCCGGACTTCAAGTCTATCTCCATAGGGGAGAACAGGTATCAGTTAGAAAAGTCTTACATACAGTAAAAACTTAATATGGCATGACCTTTTAAGGCCTAGATCTGGAGTTGGAAACCCTCCTTCATATCTCAAATTTGTGTAGAGCAGAAGGGAGACTTTTCAATCAAAAGAACCAAGCTGATGAGGCTGTAGGAATTCTGGAGAGTTCTTCTTGTGATACCTCCCAGATTAAACTTCATCCTCTTACTCTACTCCTTCACATTTCTGGGTTCCTGAGTGTTGAAAGGTGAGGAGAAATTTGTCATTTGGAAAATGCCTGCAATGGAAGGAAATTCCAGAGAAAATGGCCCTTGGAGAAGCATACACATCTCCAGGGATTAGAGCAGGGGTGGGCTCTTCAGAGGCATGGAAGCATCTGCAGCATTCCCTGCGGAAGGAGGATTAGCAGATTAGGCCATCTAGAGGCATTGAGAGTCCTGGGAATCCCATATGAGGCAGGGAGTGTCTCTTAAAGTTCTTTCATCAGTTCTATTTCTGAATGTTTTTACCCAAAGTTAGAAAGAAAGCTCCTTTACTCTGTCAAAAAGTGAACCACATCTCTGAATCTACAAAATTGCCCAATTCATACGTGGGTACATGGAAATACAAGGTTCTGATATTTGGAAAATCATCCAAACCATTATTTAAATTTTGATACCATACTTTTTTTACTCAGTTTTTCCTAGAAGCTTCCAAGTTCTCCAAAATTAATAAACAACGAAAGTATTAGCCATTTTTGTGAGTTGCTTATGTTAGAAAGACGTCTCCAACCTTCAGTCATCCAAGCATCCCTTGCCACTGCAGAGGACTGCTGATACACATAATCTCTAATTCCCTGAGTGTTCAGCTGGGCTGGGGTTTGATATAAAGCATGGCATGAAGAGTGAGTTCAGTCTCTGCCTTCAAGTCATGATGATTTCTCCATCTGTGCTCATTTATCAGGAAGACAAATTCCTCTTGGAACCACTTTCTTGACCCTTAAAATATCAGTGGCTTAGACTCTTATCAGCTCCTTGACGGCATCAAAAGGAGCCTGCGTTGCTACCTTGGACCCTCTGCTGCCCAAAGAAGCTATGGTTGACATTCTAAGTAGTTAATTTATGACTCCAGACTAAACTGGAAATCAGTCTAATTTCTTTCTTTTCCCCTCTCTTTCTTTCTTCTTTTTAAGAGATTTTTTTGTTTTAGGGCATATGTGCTTGCTGGAGAGAGAGAACAAAAACAGTGAGAGGGAAGGTGAGAAATCCTACCCCTCAGGGGATGGCCACACCACAATCCCTTCTCCTCCATTCTCTTCCTGAGATGTTGGGTATGCATACACACGCACCTGGCATGATTGTCAAGCCACAGGGTCCAGGAGTCTTATTGCAGTCAGTCACTTGGGAGTCCAGAGACGTAAGAGCTATGCCATCTGCTGGTCCCTGATTTAAAGAGCCATCTCTTTTTTCCCTTTTTATTTAAGGAATTATTTTATTTATTATTATTATTTAATTTGCTATAGGACATGTACACTCATGAGAGAGAGACAGAGAGAGGGAATGAAAGTGAGAAAGCAAGCCACCAGGTCTGGGACTCCAACCGCCATCAGCCATGTGAGAGTTCAGGACCTTAACCACCTTGCCACCTGCTGGCTCCATCTTTTTGTCTTTTTAATAGATCATCTGTGATAATTATATGTCATCTACTTATCCTTTTACCCTTATATTAAAAAATCTTTGAGGGACCAGCAGTTAGCGTAATGGCTATGTCGCTGGACTCCCATGTAGTTGACCGCGGTTCGCATCCCGAACCCGGTGACTTAAAAACTCACAGCAGGCGCATGTGGGTGCATGCCCATGATCCCAAGAGGAGAACGGAGGAGAAGGGATTGTGGCATGGTCATCCCCCCTGGGGGGTGATTTCTCACTGTCTCTCTGTCTGTCTCTGTCTGTTTGGCGAGCACGCGTGCCTTATAACAAAAATCCTCTCCAAAAAAAAAAAACAAAAAACGTTGAAAATCTTGCCTCTGTTTTTTCCTATCATGGAATAATATTACTCATGTGACCAAGGAATAGTAAAAGTATTTCAGAAGTCACTTCATTTCCCTGTCATCTAATAAAGGGAAGGTATATACTTAAAAAGTGGGCTTCCAGTAGCTTGAAAGTCATGAATATTAGCAGAGAGGGACTGGAAGAAGCATATCTACTACTAGGTTATCTGGAAAAGCCAATGTAAGGGATTGTGTGTTATTGCCAGAGAGATACAAGGCCGAGTGAAAGCAGGAGCCAAGACCAAAGACAAACTCGGTCTCGGAATTTTAGGTCACAAAGCAGCCACCACTGAGCTCCCTGGAAGAAATCTAGTTGACTTGGGCCAGCTGGTAGCATGGTGGTTAAGGTGCTTGATTCCACAGGAGTGCCATCATTCAAGTCCTGGACTGGGTGGCGGCTTGAAAATCATGCCAGGCATGTGTGCATGTGTATTCAAAGTCCAGAGAGGAAAATGGAGAAGAAGAGATTGTGGTATGGCTATTCCCCCTGGGGCGTGCCTGCTCACTGTCCCTTTCTCTGTCTCTTTCTCTGATGAACACACACACCCTATGATTAAAAAAAAAGAAAAGAAAGAAAGAAAAGAAAAAATAAGGAAACTATTTGACTCAAATATGGAAAAATCCACTGTTTTCTCAGCTATTTTCACGATGTAGGGTTAGATGACTTGAGGGAAGTGTTGAGAACCTCAGTCTAGGGTCATGTCCTGTGTTAGTACGTGTTTAAAAGGGTAGTTAAGAGGTTGGTGCTGTGAAAAGAGAAACTACCCCTCAAAGGAGAGTGCAGATACTCAGGCATCTTTGAGCTCCTTTCACACGCTGCCAAAGCAAGTCCTCACATGTAGCCTGATCTGGATGTCAGACAGTCTCCTTTTATTTTAAGGGGGTCATAGATTTTGTTTTGCTTTCCATGCTTTTTCCTGAGAGTGTGCCATAGCGTTACTGTACCTTTCCCCAAAGTGAGTCAGATGTGCTGACCATTAGAATACCAAAGTGGTGGTTCCCATAGCAGCCAGAACCACATGGAAGCAAACAATAAAATACCAACACTGCTCTCAAACCCAATGGAGAACTACGGTCACTTGAGTGAACCGAGGGCGTATTCAAAACACTATGCCTTTCTGAAGTTGGCATTTCTTCTCCAAACTGGAAGGGTTGTACCTCCTTCTCTGAAGGCTTCTTCACTAAGTGGATATTAGAGTCGCTCAGACTTTCCATGAAAGGACTCTCTTAAGTTTCCTCTTGTATGCACAGTTATGGCTAGGATGACGTTATATGGTGGACTCACATACAAGACCCTTTTGTGGACTTTCAAAGTAAAGCCAGATGTTAGCTGCTGCTTCCATGGAGACTAAATGAGGTTTCAGGTAAATCAGATACACGCATGATTATAAAATTGCATGGTCCATTTCATTGAAATCTGCGCCGGTGCAGAACATGATCTCCATGGTACAACCTGAAATGTTGAGCTGAGCATTTACCTAGAAATATTTTCAACGTACATAGAATCACATTTGGGCAAAATAATTACAGCAACTCACTAGTTGTAGAATCCTTACCTTTGAGACAAGGAGACAGGAGAAACACATGTTCTTAGAAATATAACTAAAAAATATTTTCTTGATTCTGTCTAAGGAAGGCCTGGAAATCATTAACAACATACTTGGAGATAAAAAGAGAAATCTCAGAACTGATGCATTTGCATGTACTATAGGGAATTAATATAGTTTAGGGGTTAAGAACATATTCTTTGGAATCAGGCAAATCTGTGTCTATCTGAGCTGCCATTTTAATATGTCTATAACTCTACCAGCTTCAAGCTTGGTGGTCTTCCTTTAAGAGAGACATTGTAGTAATAACCTCAGTTCTCAGTCATTAAACATTTATTGTAAAACAGGCACTGTATCAAATATTTTACATTCTTTATCTCATTTACTCTTAAAAATCATTTTCAAGTTACTTTATTATTTCCATGAGTAAGAGCAACAGAGAGACAGAGAGACAGAGGGAGAGTGAACGACAGCTCTCCACCGGGGTCTTGACACCACAATCCACTTCCACACTCAGCCAGTCCTGGATCATGTGCACACACATGTCAGAGACATCTCTGGAAACACACATCAGAAATCTTCCCATGTGAGTCAGCGTCAAGCTTCCAACTTTACTACTGCACCATCATCTGGCCACTAATCCTCACAACTATTGAGGTTGTTACTAATATTGTCTGATTACAGTGTAGGAAACTGATAGTGTAAGTACGGTTCCCAAGTACCTCACAGAATTTACCTGTGTATTAAACAGGAAGTGTATTAAACATCCACTATATGCCAGTGTTTAACAAAAGAAAGCTATGATCGGATTGGGCACTTTATATAATGTGTATCATTTGAAACTAGCTTTTATTTTGAGGTAGATTTTAAAAACATTTTTTTCTCATTTTCAGACTTTAAATGCTAACTCCCAGAAACTGATATTCCCCCTCCATGGAAAAGTCAATCAGTTCTCAAAAGAAAGATTTTCTTATGCTAATTTTTATCTGCCTAGAGTTACCATGAAGAGATAGTTTTATTTCCTTATTTATTTTTAAAATTTGCCATAAGGTGCATGTACTCACCAGAGAGAGAGAGAGAGAGAGAGAGAGAGAGAGAGAGAGGAGGTGAGAACGCATCCCCCAGGGGTATAGCCACCCCACCGTCTCTTTTCCATTTTCCTGTCTGGGTTTTGGGCATGTGTTTCAAGTGTCCAGGTCTAATGGCACAGTCAGTCAATGGGATCCAGCTGCCTGAACCCCCATACCACCGGATGGCCCAGTTTTATTTTTTTAAAACTACTCTAAAATTGGTCAAGTCACCTGCATGCTTTTTAATCCTTTTGTTTGTTTGTTTGCTTATTTTTTATTTTGTTTTTGGGTAGAGGGCCCATGTGCTCTCCAGAGAGAGACAGAGAGAGGGAGAAAGCATCCCCCTTGGGGAACAGTTACACTGCCATCCCTTCTCTTCCTTTCTCCCTTCTGTCAGGATTTTGGGACACACGTACATGCACTTGGTATCTTCTTTAAGCCACCAGGTCTGGGACTCCAAATATGTGGTCAACTATATGGGATCCAGCTGTCTAAACCACCAGGCCAAGGAGCCAGACTTTAATACTTCGTTCTTACTTTTTTTGGGGGGGAGGAGCATTTCATCACTGCGTTTATAAAAACTTGTTCTTTGCGCCTATCATGGAGGAATTATAGAGCACCATTTCTTTAGGGAGAATTTATTCCAGTAAAGAGAAAAGCCTAAAAATAAATCTGAACAATCCAAACATCCATGAGTACTTTAAAAGAAAATATTATAATCCCGGTATTTATACACACACACAGATACACATAGTTTCCTGAAAGCTGGACAAAAGCCTCAGTTCTGACAGATTCTGCATTGATGAGAGCAAAACGAACACAAATGGAGCCATGATATAGTGAAAAGTCTCACAAGCCTTGTTGTTTCATGCCAGATAAAATAAAAGTTAGTTGATTGGGAAAGAATTTCTAATAATGCCAGCATCATCAAGAAATATGTTAAGAGATTGTGTAATGAAATGAGAGCCAACACAGATAATCATAGCGTTATTATAGAAATAATAGTCATATTGTGGTTGTGGCCCATAAATCTTGATTCCGTTTTCTGGCAATGGGTTGCACTGACCTCTCTCACAGTCTTGCCTGGACCACCTTGTGGGGGGGTAGGGTCAGGAATCTGCGAAAAGACGGGTAGGGTTGGAGTGCACTCAAAACATGAATCAAGGGCACGACTTACTGGTCCAGATCAGATCCTGACCACACTGACATGGGGTCTAACGAAATGAGTTACCACAGGAAACTGACATCTTCCACACAGCTTTATTTCCAGAGTTCCACAGGATATTTGATTTATTAAACTCACCCTTCTAAAAAGATAGCTCTTGTTAGGACTGACATTGAGCTGGTACACATGGAGGTACCAGTGTTTCCTCTGAACGTGGTGCTCACGCATTACAGGTTACCGAGCATTTTTAATCTCACGCTAAGTAATTGCATAGTATAAAATGAGACAACCCAATATATCTACCAAAAGTCTGAAAGCATATTAAATCTTGTTAAGGTCAATGCATAATTAGACATTGAAAATTTAATGTCTAAAATTGGCCTTGCTCAGTCCTCTTAGATTTGAGATTTTTCAATTCCTTGCTTTTCAGATGAGTTTCCACTGTGTCTGGTTGAGCACTAGCAAATGATTCCTTCACGAAGGCATAGGCTCGTCATTCCATTGTCAAGGAAATTATTTAAAAGGACCTTCTATGACTATCAGATCTACCTGCTTAAGCCAATCACTAAGTCTTGGGCAAATCCATGTTTTCTTACAGTTTAAAAAATATACATTTGGACATCCTAGTTTTGAAAAACTTCCAACACATTTGCCAAGTGCCTTCCCCCTTCATAATATTTGAACACATTTAAGAGAAATCTAATCCATATGTTTCTGACTCATTTATATATGAATCATAAATATATGATTTTTCTAAGAGCCATTTAATGCTCAACAGCTTTTTGTCTCTTATAAAATATATATTTTTAGGCTTTTTTTCCTCCAAAACACAGAAAATCAACTTTAAATAGATATACAAAAGACACACCACTGTAGTTCGAAGTTCCTGTTTTTGAGCTCATCCTAAATTTGGCAAAGTGTGTTCCCTGTTTGTTATGTTAACTTCTGAAGCATGCCAACTTTTCATTCTTTTACTATATAATTATTAACTTTAGTGCCATTGTGGTTCTTTCTAATTCATTCCACACACTGAGCATCCTCTGGAGACTTTTATTTTTCAAGTGTCTTTAAGCTTAGGTCATTTGGGGCTTAAGGAGTAAAAGAAATGGGATGGGAAACAATTTTGCTTTTTTTGGAAATGTTAGTAATTTTTCAGCAAATGATTTCTTAAAAGACATATGCACTTTGTGATCCACATCCAGCTCTAAATTCTTTTTCTTCGGTTTGAAAACAAATAAACAATATTCCAGACGGCACAATCATTCTAGGAAAATCCTTCAAGGAGGCCAACAGACATTAGTCCAGTCCTTGAATCTGAAGGTGAATTGAATAGGAATCTGCTGTTTCCAACGTGCTCATGTATAAAGGGGATTAAAACCCTGGAACCTTGGAAACACTATATTACACATTGCTGTACGACAGCCAAAAGCTTTTATTTTTTTAGCAAATATTATTTTTTCACTTTCTCCAAAAAGTTCATCTTGTTTAATGCATTTCAGCAATGACCATAGATATGCTTCTATTTCTCACTGAAAATATTTCTATTAATTGCTTCCATGTGTTTGGCATCTACACTGATGTAAAGTTGTCTCTGCTGTGAAGCTCCCAGTTATTTGCTTTGACATGACATTTTAAGTATCCTATCTTTTCCTTACATTTATTTAACAGTTTCACACACCTGATACAGTACAATTACTGTCAGATTTGCAGATCTATCTTGAGAAAGAAAATGAACCCCAAGAATCTTCAGAGGAATAATTACCATGGACTTCATGAGATATTTCTGCATCTGTGTATTATCTGGCAAGCCATCTTTCAATGAGTTTTTAGCATGGAGTAGAACTAACACATGGCAAGAAATTTATTCAGGCTCCATTAAGCTATCTACCTCAATATTTTAAAAGCCATTTTTTATTAAAGAGAAGAAACTATAAACATTCAAATCTACCCATGAGGTCTTATTTTGATTAGGAGGAATATCAGAAGCTATTAGAGGATAAAGTAAAATAGCTGACAACATGGGGAACCTCAGAAAGTTCGTGGAAAATGGAATTAGGGTATGAGTTTATTACAGTGAAAAAAATTTTAATTCCATGCATAATTTTTCCATAATATGGAATTGTCCATGAAGTCTCAGAAGATGACTCCTGTCTCTATGTGATAGATCCATTATCGTTTATAATGCATGACTCTGCAGCAATTCACAATAGATAAAATGAATGCCATGGTCAAAGAAATGGTTGGGGTTGGTACAGGTGGCCTTGTCTTTGTAGCCCAATGATTTGTTGATCCCAAACCAAGAGCTATTTTATCAGTTTATGCACTTGACTGATGGCATCTCAAGACTTCCTTTTTTTCTCCTCATTATGTTCCTTTCTCTTCCTTGCCATTTGTTCCAGTGTCATTTCTCACACCTCAATTGCATTTAAGGCATCCTATTCCTGTCCATAGCTCTCAGCAACATATACAGAGACATTGGCTTAGGTTAAATCTTTACGCTCATTTAGAGGAAAGTGAGCTAATATTTTAAAAGAACTCACAGCAATTGAGAAGAAATTTGCTATCATTGTCTATCATTAATC